GGATCTCATCAAATTGCCCAGGCTGGCCTTGAGCTTTTAATCCTCCTACCTCTCAGCCCCTTGAGTTGCTGGGGTTATGGGCATGCACACATGCCAGGCTGGTGCTGCATTTTCTTTAACACTTTGCCATATCCCCACACTTTGTAGTATTATTAATCTTTTCTTGTGAAAGGCTGAAGTGAATAGAAAATAAAATTTCATTATACAGAGAGTAATACTGGTTTCTCAATAGGAAACAAAAAAGTCTATGTGTTGGGAACTATGCCTTGCCTGTTTCGTTTTTTTCTAATGCTTTTGCATTTATTTTCTTAAACCATGTTTTTCTCTACTTATCTGATGGGATTACTAGATTTCCGTTTTATTTTATTGATTGGATTTATGTTTTGGAACCTGCCTCTGGTGACCAAGTGGATAATTGACAAGGCAGGGTAAGACTGGTGACAGGGAGATGCTACCCAGTGTTGTTGAGGTAGACACTGGGGCGGGCATGGCTGATGCGTGAATGTTGGGAGGGAGTGTGGAGAGGAGAGATCACTCACTGGTTTTTGGCAACATGGGTGGTGCTGCTAATTCATTGGGGCGTGTTGGAGAAGGGAGTTTGTGGGGAAAGATGAATTCCTTATCATATCTGTTGAGAGTCACCCATGTTTGATTAGGTTAGATAGTAGAGTCCGGAGCTTAGGGGAGAGGTCAGGCACTATGTCACAAGTGGAGATACAGGGACTAATGAGATGTTTGCTGAAGAAATATAGCCTTGTGAAGGGCAGAGGTGAGAAGTTATAGTCAGGAACCAGGAAGCAAGAGGTAAATCTTTAAATGAGCAGCTACTTCATGTCTAACAGAGCAAAAGTTTTTGTTCATGAAGAAGCCATCACTTCATGAAACTGGACCGATTTAGGCATCATGAGCCTCTGAGGTGACACTTGAAGCTATAGGGAAGATGAGAATGTCTGAGAAGAAGGGAGAGGACGTGGGAATGTTAAACACTGTGGAGAAGGAGAGAGGTCCAGACTGTAATGATGAAATAGAGACTCAACTTGCCAGCAGGAGCCCTATGACCAGCACAGGGTTGGAGGCCCGGGGCTCAGGATATTTCTTACCCTTGCAGTGAACTTACCTTGCAGCCTCGAGGTAGGGACACCAGGACACACAGAATGGTGGGTGCTTGGTTCCTTGCCAGCCGGTGCCTGAGCTCTGAGTAGGTTATCAAGAGCTCAGAGGGGGCTGGGTCCTCTGAAGCCTGCTGTGGGATGAGAGGAGGCTGAGCCTTATCCAGGCTCTGCCTGTGGTACTTGGTGGTTAACCCTCCACGTGCTCCCAGATTGCCTCCCACATCCATTCTGTAGTGTTCATTCGTGTGACTGATATTAGGGATCAGAGTGGGAGCTGCTTCACGGGGGAGATCACATCTCTTACTTTCTCTGGCTCTTTCTCAAAATCCCAGCCAATAGGGTGTGCTCAGGAAATGCTGATCTGCAACGATTATGCATAAATTGCTCTTGTTAAGCCTCTCTGTACAGTTGGGGGCTAGGCAGCAACAAACAGGAGAACATGTTCGTTGATGGGAGGGATGTTAAGCTTTCAAAGGCCTAGTGAATTATGTCAGTCTCAGTCCCTGGGCCAGCTGCTTTGGTAATTAGTGGGGGCCACAGGCAGTAGATGGAGGCCACAAGGTGGGTTTTCAGGCAGGCCCAGAAGATGGGACCTGGCGGCTTTTCCTTTGGGAAATCCTGGTCTCTCTTGGCACTTGGCCTGCCCTGTGTCAGTTCTCATTTCCTCTTGGCCCAATATCTCTGTGAGCAGGTTTCTAATCCCCCTCTCCAAGCCCTGAGTGCCTGTGGTAGCCCACCGTGGTTTGCTTTTTTCTCATCCATGGCTCTATTCATTGATTCCTCTTCCCAGCACCTCTTACCTCTTCTACTCCCCGAGTGCCTGTTCACCTAGGAAACCCAACTGTCACCTGTCCTGAGATTACTCTGCTTCCTTCCTTCCTTCCTTTTTTAATTTGTTTCTTAGAAAACCACATATATTTATCCTGTATTTTTTTTTTTTTGAGCATTCAAGACAGTGTCTTAATTGTCACAGTAGACATATCCAGGACTAAAAGGGTTTTCCAAGTTGTTATGATTTGCATTTTCCGGGAGAGGTGGGCAGGAAGATACTAGTGATTGAATTCAGGAGTTCTTGACCACTGAGCCACATCCCCAGCCCTATTTTGTATTTTATTTAGAGACAGGGTCTCACTGAGTTGCTTTTGCACCACACCTTTGCTGAGGCTGGCTTTGAACTCGTGATCCTCCTGCCTCAGCCTCCCGAGCCATTAGGATTACAGATGTGGGCCACTGCACCTGGCTCTTTCTTTTTATTTTC